AAGTCAGGATAACCTTTAGCTGCAAGTTCATCCCAAGGATTTAGAAGTTTATAAAAAAACTGGGGTAACCAATGTTCGATTGCATTGGGTGGAAGTCTACGAAAGTATTTGGTAAAAATTTTGAAGTAGGCTGGGAAGCTGCAAATGTCGCATAATTCAATTTTTGAAAGTGCGCAAGTTGCATCGTCAGTGAGGAGTTGTTCTCCTGTATGGCCGACTAATTCTTCTTTAAGAATTTTAACGAATCCTCGTAGAACGCCATCGATTTTATCGAAGTTATTTAGGAGTTCGTCTTTCTGTTGTTGGCCTTGAGTAGTTTGATCCCATTGTCGAAGCCAATCAAGAGCATCACCTTGTAGGGTTGCTGAGATGTAGTCAAGGAAACGATTACGTTGCCAGGTTCCTTTATAATTGTTAACAAGAATGGCTAAAGATTGTGCCCATTCATCAATGGTTTTCAAATGATCTTTATAAGGGACATTTGAAAGATCAAGATAAGTTCCATGTTGTGAAATGGGAAACTTATTAAGGTCATCTTTTCTGGTCTAGGTAGGGACTGTAGAAAAATCATATTTATAGGAAGAAGTATAAACAGAGGACTTTTTGGGTTCTCCTTTTTCTCCAATGTCAGCTGGTTGGCTTGATGAAGGAACTTCTTCTGCTGGGAGAAGGTCTTCGGTAGGAAAATCTCCATAAAAGGTTTCATCAAGAACAGTGTCTGATTGACATTTCTTAGATCTAGATTTTTTGGATTTAGATCTTGGGTTTGGCAGAGGATTTGCTTCGATAGTTTCATCGACAGATTCAGAATCGGAGGAAGAGGAATCAGAATCATTAGAAAAGACGTATATCTGTTCGTCATCTGTTTCTTCTATGGAGTCAGAATTGCTATTGCTTTCTGATGGTGTGTAACCAAAGTGAGTAAGAAGATCTTCATTTTGTAAAGAGATTTGTCGTATGTGATTGATGATATGTGTGCTTTCATCAAAGGTAAGCTGTGGGTTTACATATAGGGCTTGTAAACAATTGAGTTGATCTATGATGTTATCATAGTCATCACGGTGATATGTGGATGAAGTGGTTTCTGAAAAAACTTTGATTTCTTCAAGATCGTAAAAAAGGGGTTTGACCTTATAACGAAGAGGTTGCTAACTGTTATCGGGAAGGGGTTCTTCCTTGGTGAGGGTTTCTAGAGATAGGGGTTCCTGTTTGGAAAGATCGGGTGGATCTGGTTCTAGTGGATAAAGGTCTGACATCTTAACTTTTTTGAGCTTGGCTAGATCTATAGTCATCTGATGAATTTGTTCCTGAAGGATAGATGTATCTTGAGGATTAGAAAGAGTGAAAATCTGGGTAAGAGTTTCAAGTTTGTCATTCAAGGAGATCATTCCTTGTTGAACATCATCAAAGGAGGAATCCATATGGGTATTGGTTGCCTCGAGGTTATGTTGGAAATCGATTTTCCAATCAGTAACCATATCGATAAGGAAGTTTAGTCTTGCACCGATTTGATTAAACGTAAGTGGTTCCGTGTGTAGAAAGTGTGAAATATGACGGTAGCCATTCGGATCTTGACCGGTAATATTACGGATACAGTTTACAGAACTAGGTTGTGCCATACAAACAGTAATTGGTTCTTAAGACCTTTTGATCTCTGTTATGGTGCCTAAAACCAAAGGTTCCTGTTATGAGCTTAACAGCAGTCTCACAGATAAATAAGCAAGTACAGGATAATATGGGCTTAAACCAGTAATCAAACATATGAGATTTATTACAGTAATAAGGCACAAGTAGAACTGAAAACTTAATGCGTAATAAAAACTTACAATAGTGGTCCAGATTCGAAGTACGGCTTTGATACCAATTACAATGATGCGGAAATAGAAACACACAAGGAAATAGAAACACACAAAGTGGAACTGAAGAACTTACAAAGGTATACAAAGAGAAGGAAATTGATACTAAAACTCATGCCGAAACCATTCTGAGGTTACGGTTTAAATAGCATTACAAAAGGTAAACAGTTGCAGAGAAGATAAGAACGAATCTTTCCTTTACTGTTTGAAAAAGTGGTTGTCGGCAACTTTCACTGTTGATGAATAGTTTGTCGGCAGCTTTCGGTTACTTTTACTTTTAGAAAAAGTAGACATGACATCTCTTCTTGTCGTGTGCTGGATAGATTGCAGTCGAGTGGAAAAGAATGTTGGTCATCCTTCTATGGCATTGATGATGTTATGGAGTTCATATTCATCAAGTGGAGGGGTGCTGGCTGGTGATTGTGCATCAGCAATATCCCATTCGAGATTGAGTCGTTCGGCTCCATCTTTGACCCGAGAGGGGATATCCAGCGTGGTCATACGAATGATTTCTTTTAGAAATTCTTTAGCAGTCTGGATATGGTGTTCTCCATTATCGTCATCATAATAAATATTGAGTGTAGTGACAAAGTGTCTTCGCCCGTCACAACAGTATAATACTAGATCTTAATTATGATAAGTGCCATCTAGGAGATGACGAGCAGTATTTTGTTGGTGTAAGAAACTGTGAATCTCTAAGTAGTATGGAACAATGCTGTTAGCAATTTCTTCTGAGTTTATTAGTTGATGATGCTCGTACTCATCTTGTGCGGTGAGCTTGAGGTACCATATTTGATAAAGTTGGAAAAATTGAATTTTTTCTCGACTGCCAAGGGTACTGGAAATCCAAAAAGTAAGGTGACAGCTATAGTTCCATCGTCTACTTACTTTGTAAACCATAGATTTGATCATGGCAGGAAAGGGACGGTATGAATCTGTAGAGGTGAAGGTGAGTTTGTTCACAAATCCCCAATCAATTGGTTCCATTGACCATTCAATACCAGGAATGATAAAAAAGTCAAATTTTGGGACTTTCTTGCCATTATAAAGCATATCAAATGTATTGATATCTTCATGTAACTCCTTATAATAATAGCGGATGATGTCATAATGATCTTCAATTTTTGCGTAGATGACGCGGAAGAGATCAGGAGGAAAAATGTTTCTTGCTTTTTCAAGAAGACATATATGATTGATTTTTGCAAACGTATTTTGTGGAAAATCTTGTTCTCCTACTAACAGGGCAAGTTTAAGAAAACAATTAATTTGAGCTAAAGAAAAATCTTTTTCCCAGTCAATAGTAAGACAGATCTGGATGCAAAGCTATTTAAGCTCAACATTCATGGCTGCTTGTTCAGCGATGAGGGCTGTAAGAGCGCTCAGATGTTGTCTGAATTTCTTATGTGCACCAAGTTTATGTACTTTCCAAACATTGTTAATTTCTTTATAAAGATCGTTTGGAAGACCAGGATTGTAGAAATTGTTAATTTCTGCAGCATCCAGAATTTTAGAAAACATTTTTTGTGAGGCTTGACCCACATTATAGAAAACTGTTTAAGCATCCATAAGAGTTTCATATGCTTTGAAGCAAGAACCATTAAAGGAACGGAGCTGTTTGTGACAGGCATTCCATTCTGCATAAATGCCAGGATGGTGTCCAGCAAAAACCATGAACCATTTTTTTGGTTGTGATGGAGTTGGCTTATCCATTACTTTTTTAGCAATAGTGATCCAACCATCTTTATCTTTTGGTGGATAGTTGTGTTCATCCATCTGTAAGCAAGGAGAGAGAATTATCATGGTTAGATAGTTCTGTTGGTCTGCTTAAGAAATCTGCAAGAAAGTTGTTAGTTCCTTTGATATGTTCAATAGCAAAAGAATATTGAGCAATAATATTATACCATTTCAGTTCGAACATTAACACCAGCAGGGTTAACCCCTTAATCTTAACGAGGGCCTCACAAAAAATGTTTTCTCAAATTCCGGATGCTGCAGAAATTAACAATTTCTACAATCCTGGTCTTCCAAACGATCTTTATGAAGAAATTAACAATGTTTGGAAAGCACATAAACTTGGTGCACGTTGAAGCTTTTTTGTGATAAGAGCTTTGCGAATGCGCAATTTTGGTTCAGAATTGATGTTATCAAATAACCAATTTCGAGGAATTTCGAGATCAATCCAATTGAGTAATTTAGGCTCAATAATGGTATCGAAAGGTATATATATATATATATATATATATATATATATATATATTGAATGCATGAATGTATTTTGAAACTTGTTCTTAGTCTAATCCTTCGAATTCATGAAGTTTTGAGTAATTTATCCAAAGAACTCAGATTTTGGCTAGCAAATTAAGACAGCCGGAGAGGAAGATCTGGCGGCGGCGGAATGGCGGTGTAGAGAAAAGTCTGATGAGGAGGAAGACGAGCTCGACTGAGGATGTTATGTCCGGTGAGCAAAGACAGCAAGAATCCTTGAACATTGGCAGTAGATTCTGTGCATGATAGGGTGGTGGTGGGTTCATTTAGGAGTGGATGGTGGCGGCTTTGGTTTATTAGTAGGGTATTTTGGTCAATAAGAAAGAATTGTATCGGATAAATTGGTAATTGAATGTATCAAGGGATAATAATGTCAATTCACTAACATTGGGGTGTCTTTGTTAGCTTTATCAAACCTAAGGGAGTGTTTTTGTTCAAAAAAACGGTTAAGTTGTGTATGATTGTCAATATGACAAATTTCAAAATTAACCCTATAAAAAAATAATAATTTTAAAAACCTCTTCCTATTTGGCATTAGGGACGGTCAATCTCTGGCGAATTCTCAATGAACCCCCATAGAGTGTAATGTTATATTTTGTTGTGATTTCACACTATACATGAAATATTCTCAAATATAATACGGACATTATAAATAAATGGGTGGGTTTCATGATATCAAAACTAATTCTCGATTCAATGTAACGTCAAATATTTGATTTGAAGCTAATACTTGATTCAATGTTACTTCAAATATTCCATTTGAAACGCTTACGGTGACACAAACAGATGGATAGACAGGATGGCCCACCCGTCTTTACACCTAACTACTACTTACAATTCCCAATTCTACCTTACCTATGATTACTTACAATTCCCAATTCTACCTTTACCTATGATGTTACAAGTAACTACAAACCCTAACACCTCTCTTTCTCGCTATATAAAATACAGTATCACAAACCATCAATTCGCTGTAAAATCTGAGTTTTTACTCCAGTGTTTTTTTTTACTCTGTGTAATTTCTCTTTCTAGAACGAGGAGAGGGAATGGCTCTCCCAGGCATCAGCTCAGCTCTCTCTTCCAATTTCCTTGTGAAAACCCATTTCATTCCATCTTCCTCCAAACCCAACTCTCGCTCCCACCTCCCCATTAATCAAAACAGTAATACAAGACCAATCCGCCGCATCTCGGCCGTCCATTCCGACGACCCATCTCCCGAAGAGTGGACTGTCGATAGCTGGAAGTCGAAACGGGCTCTCCAGTTGCCGGAATACCCCGACGAGGCCGAGCTCGAATCGGTCCTGAAAGACCTAAAATCGTTCCCTCCGATTGTGTTCGCCGGCGAGGCTCTGACACTTGAAGAGCGGCTGGGCCAGGCCGCCCTCGGGAATGCCTTTCTGATGCAGGGAGGGGATTGCGCGGAGAGCTTCAAGGAATTCACTGCCAACAACATTCGGGACACCCTTCGGGTGCTTCTTCAGATGGGTGTGGTTCTCATGTTTGGTGGACAAATGCCTGTCATCAAGGTCTAATATTTTTCTTTCCTCTGTTTATTCTCTCTGTTTTTTTTTTTTTTTTTTTTGAATAATTTGGTGAATGGAATTGGAATTGGGTGATTAGGAATAATGGGTATGCTTGTTAAGGTAGGTTGAATTTTGGGTGTACATTGTTTTCTCTGTCTATGGTAAATTGGGAAATTAGTGTATATATATGTGTGGCTTTGTGTGTATACTGTGTATCTGTAAGTAGGGTGGAATTCGACTGGTTAGAAATTGTGGACATGATTATTTAAGTAGACAGAATAGTGGGTCATGTTGCAGGGATAAGATTAAAGCTTTTTATGTTTGATTTTTTAATTAGTGCGTGTGAATACTTAGGTAGGTAAAATTTTAAACCTGAATGGGAAAAAACAGCTGTGCACTTTTTTATATTTTTTATTGGGTTCATATTTGAGAAATTCTTATACATGATCTCTAAAAGAGACGGTATGATTGTTTAGCCGGGAAGAATGACAGCTTAACTAGTGTCTTGCCGAGTGCTTTTTATTTGTTTTTAGTTGGTAATTGATCTCGTGACACTACCTTACTTATGAATAATGGGAGATTGGGGTTGAAAATTATAAATCACCTGTAGGTGAGAAGAATTGTGGATTAATTTGCAAAATATATTCAATTGGTTAGTCTTTGCACAAGAATTTAGAGATTATATGAGATGACATGAATTGAGTGATTAGGGATCAGGGATATGATCAATAGGTGTAAAGATTTGCCGGTGGACTTATACTAGGGGGATCCTTGTAAGTTTCCTTTCCTCCGCTTATTGATATGCTTAAACTCAGCGAGTAGTCCCGCCTGACCTGGGGTCACGGTCGAGGCACCGTCGGTGACGGCGCATCAGGGTTGCTGGAGCTTCTCGCCGGCGACGTCGGGGCGCGCGACATGACGCTCGAGAGTTTTTATTTTCTCAACCACCAATTGTCGCGACTGACGTCGCGGGCGACTTGTTTTTTGGGCCGACCGCAAACTGATAGCGCACAGGGGGACCATTGTCCGCCCCCGTCGCATGGGATGTGCGCCGGGGGGGGGGGGGGGGGGGGGGGGGGGTGGGCGACACGATATCAGACGCAGATGTGCCCTCGGCCGGATGGCTTCGGGCGCAACTTGCGTTCAAAGACTCGATGGTTCACGAGATATCTCGACAACGGATATCTCGGCTCTCGCAAAGAACCAAGAGTAGAGCCTCTCTTTTTTTGTTTCATAATAAATGCAACGATGGCAATCTATTACAAATTTTTGTTTCATAATATACTTTTGAGTTAGTTTCTTATTTTTGGATCACACGTCAATATTAGTAACTATATAGGATGGCCTTGAGAATATGTTTATCAATATATATGTGTGTGTATGTATCTATATGTATGATGATGTTTAGGGTTGAGTAATTGAAACTATTGATTTCACTATCTAGGTGGGAAGAATGGCTGGTCAATTTGCAAAGCCAAGATCAGATCCCTTTGAAGAGAGAGATGGAGTGAAGCTGCCGAGCTACAGAGGGGATAATGTGAATGGGGATGCCTTTGATGAGAAATCAAGAATTCCAGACCCCCACAGGATGACCAGGGCGTACCTTCAATCTGTAGGAACACTAAACCTTCTTAGGTCTTTTGCTACTGGAGGCTATGCTGCCATGCAGAGGGTTACTCAGTGGAATCTCGATTTCACCGAGCACAGTGAGCAGGGGGATAGGTATAATTTTTGCTTCTTCACAATATTTGGAACTTTGTTGTTTCTGGTTACGTTAATTAATTTTTTAATGGTCTGTCAATAGGTATCTTGAATTGGCTCACCGAGTTGATGAGGCCCTAGGGTTCATGGCTGCTCTTGGACTCACAGTTAGCCACCCAATCATGTCCACAACAGAATTCTGGACATCCCATGAGTGTTTGCTTCTGCCTTATGAGCAGGCATTTACAAGGAAGGATTCAATTACTGGTCGTTATTATGACTGCTCAGCTCACATGGTTTGGGTTGGGGAACGCACACGGCAACTGGATGGCGCCCATGTTGAGTTCCTTAGAGGAGTTGCCAACCCACTTGGCATCAAGGTATTGTTGAGTACATTCTTTTTTTCATTTAATTTTGACAGATTATTATTTCCTTTTTACATCTTCAACTTTCTATTTGTTATACTAAACATGACCATGTTCACTAAAATGTCATGTATTAACTTATGAAATTATTTATTTATGGATATTGTTATCCCTTTTGAAGTTTCAAAACCAGTTGTGTTATGTAATTGCCAAAGAAAAAACAAGAAAAGAAAAGAAAAGAAAAAAGGATGAGGCAACTAAAATGAAGGCATTTATGATGCAGGTGAGTGATAAGATGGACCCAAATGAGTTAGTTAGGCTAATTGAAATTCTGAATCCTCAGAACAAGCCTGGAAGAATATCAATCATTACAAGAATGGGAGCTGAGAATATGAGAGTGAAGCTTCCCCATCTGATTAGGGCAGTCCGCAGTGCAGGTCAGATTGTCACTTGGGTTAGTGACCCAATGCATGGGAACACCATAAAAGCTCCTTGTGGACTTAAAACCCGTTCCTTTGATTCAATCAGGGTATGTTTACTATCGTATTTCTTTCTTGTATGTTTGTACTGTGAACTTTGTTTTGGTGTGCTTATTAGGATAAAATTTTATCTGACAGTACAATCCAAAGAGTCTGTATCACAAACATAAATATGTGTGTATATATATATCTCATATTGTACAAAACCCAAATATCAGATAAATCTCTTTTCCAATTCATAATTCTGCTGTTTTGCACTCCAAATGTGATTTTTTTCTGTCCTTGATGTGTAAAATTGTATAAAAGATACTGTTCAATGTTTCTTGATATAATAAATGTTTAATATACATTTAATTGTTCAAGTTGTTTTAGCAGTTGAATTCTTTTCCAGTTTGACACTAATTTTCAGTAGTAGTATCAATTAATTTAGTATGTAATTATTGCTTCACTTGATATTTGTGTGTGTGTGTTTTTTTTCCCTTCTTTGTAGAAATCGATCTGGTCTTTGTGTTTTGTTAAACCATGTACTGCAAAAATCCTAATGGGAAAGGGAAAAAAAAGGTGTAGTAGGTTGGTAAGATTGCATTTGATATACCTACTCGAGAGAGATCGTAATCAATAACTACTTGAGCTTGCTTCAAAGCTGGACTACAACTTACTGCGTGTTTGCCAACTTTTATGGTTCAGAACTTAATCTCAATTTGAAGCACAATGCTTATCGTGTCGTTATTACGTATTTTTCTGATTTGTTGACGTGGTGGTTGTTTGGTGGTGGTGGCGGCGGCGGGAGTGGGGTGGTTTCTGTATTATTCTTCCCTACTTTTTGTCATAATAATAACAATTAGAGGTTATTTTCTTGGCAGGCTGAGTTGACAGCATTCTTCGATGTGCATGATCAAGAAAAAAGCTACCCAGGAGGAGTTCATCTGGAGATGACCGGGCAGAATGTGACGGAATGCGTTGGAGGCTCACGAACTATCACATACAATGATCTGAGCTCGCACTACCATACCCATTGTGACCCAAGGCTCAATGCTTCCCAATCTTTAGAGCTTGCCTTCATTATTGCAGAGCGGCTACGAAAAAGACGGCTTGGATGATTGGATCACAGCACACAGGCTCTAGGAGGAGAGAGAGTTTGCTATACATTACATGTATTTTGCGCCTTCTTTTAAGGTGATATCCATGTATATACTAGAAAAAGTGAATCAAGGTCACTTTTGACTTTTGGCAAAAGTGAGAAAGTGAATTAGAGAGGTTTTGAATATTGAGATGATGTATGTCGCCATCTTGACTGAAATTTCAGATTATGCAATAAAATATATTCTTTTATTCAACCAAGGATTTTCTCTGATGTTATTTTTGTCTTATGTGCTATCTAATACATGAAATTATAATATTGCATCACAATATAATGATATATTCTCTTTATTTTTTTTAAAAAAAAAATATTTCTTTTGAAGAACCGTCCCTCTTTGTTTTTAAAAAGAATGTCTTTTTTAAAAAATTAGAAAATATTACATGATTGTTATACATGAAATACTTTTTAAAAAGAATGAATTTTAGTTGATCAAAAAGAAAAGAAATAAAAAGAGATACAATTTTTATTGTTCATTATATTTATATTATTATTTTTCAGCTGAGAGTCTTGAGACCACGGACTGTTGGATCTCCCCACGCGTGTAACCACCATGTCTAGCTACTGCTCCGTACTAATAATTCCCAATTCCACCAGATGTTACAAGTTGTTACAGCATCTCTCTTTCTCTCTTATATAAATCTCACAAACAATCACTTACCTATAAAATCTCACTCCAACTCAGCTCTCTCTCTATAAAAATCCGACGAGCCTCCAGATCTTTTTTCTCTCCAACTCTATCTAGTTTCTTTCTCTATCAGGCGGAAAGAGAAGAGAAAAAAAAAGAAAATGGCTCTCGAAGGCATCAGTTCAGCTCTCTCCTCCGATTTCCTCCTCAAAACCCAATTCGCTCCATCTTCCTCCAAACCCATCTACCTCTATCACCTCCCCACCAATCAAAACCCTAAAACAAGATCAGTCAACCGCAGCTCGGCCGTCCATTCCGCTGACCACCTTGCCAAAAAGTCAACCAATTCGACGCCTAGAATCGACCAATCTCCCCAAAAGTGGATGGTCGGTAGCTGGAAGTCGAAACAGGCCCTCCAGTTGCCGGAATACCCCGACGAGGCTGAGCTCGATTCGGTCCTGAAAACCCTAGAATCGTTCCCTCCGGTTGTGTTTGCCGGCGAGGCTCGGAAACTTGAAGAGCGGCTGGGCCAGGCCGCCCTCGGGAATGCCTTTCTGATGCAGGGAGGGGATTGCGCCGAGAGCTTCAAAGAATTCAGTGCCAACAACATTCGGGACACCTTTCGGGTGCTTCTTCAAATGAGTGTTGTTCTCATGTTTGGTGGACAAATGCCTGTCATCAAGGTCTAATATTTTTCTTTCCACTGTTTATTCTCTTCTAATTTGCTATATATATATATATATATATATATTAATTTTATAAAAAATAATTTGGTGAATGGAATTGGAATTGAGTGATTAGGAATAATGGTTATGATTGTTTAAGTTAGGTTGAATTTTGGATTTAAATTCTTTTCTTTTTTCTCTGTAAATTGGTTGATCTCTTTATGCTTCTATGGTAAATTGAGAAATTAGTGTAACAATGTGTGTGAGTTTGTGTATATAGTATATACACGTGTTTCTATACATAGGGTGGAATTGGACTGGTTAGAAATTGTGGAAATGATTATTTAAGTAGGCATAATTGTGGGTCATGGTTCAGGGATAAGATCGAAGCTTTTTATGTTTAATTGTTTATTTGGTTCATAAAAAATTCGGGAAATTCTATGTTATGTTTTGAAACTTATTAAAAATTGTGTGTATGATTAGGTAGGTAGGTAGAATTTTGAACCTGAATGGGGAAAAACAGATATGCACTTTTTTTTATTTGTTTTTTGGGTTCATATTTGAGAAATTCCTTGCATGAGCTTTGACATTGAATGCTAAAAGAGACGATATTATTGTTTAGGCGGGAAGAATGGCAGCTTAACTAATATCTTGTGAAATTATCGTCGGAGTGCTTTATATTTATTTTTAGTTGGTAATTGATCCCGTGACACTACATGGTTATTGTAGTTATGGCTTATGAATAATGGGATTGAGGTACCAAAGGCTGTAGTTTAGTGGTATCTCCTCTACCTCCCAAAGGGAATGGTGAGGATTCGAGTCCCCGTTGGGACAAATGGATGCGTGAGCTTCTTGCCAATGGAAAAAAAGAAAAAAGAAAAAGGATTGAGGTTGAAAATTACAAATCTTCTGATTTTTTTAGGTGGGAAGAATTATGAATTAATTTGCAAAATATATTCAATTGGTTAGTCTTTGCACAAGAATTTAGTGATTTTATGAGATGATATGAATTGAGTGATCAGGGATCATTGATATGATCATTAGGTGTAAAGATTGGCCAGTGGACTTATAGAACCAAGAGTAGAGCCTCTCTTTTTTGTTTCATAATAAATGCAACGATGGCAATCTAGAGTTGATTTTTGTTTCATAATATATTTTTGAGTAAGTTCTTATTTTTGGATCACACATCAATATTATTAACTATATTTGATGGCCTTGAGAATGTGTTTATCAATATATGTGTGTGTATATATATCTATATGTATACATTTAGTGTTGAATAATTGAAACTATTGATATGATTATCTAGGTGGGAAGAATGGCGGGTCAATTTGCAAAGCCAAGATCAGATCCCTTTGAAGAAAAAGATGGAGTGAAGCTGCCGAGCTACAGAGGCGACAATGTGAATGGGGATGCCTTTGATGAGAAATCAAGAATTCCAGACCCCAACAGGATGATTAGGGCCTACACCCAATCTGTAGCAACATTAAACCTTCTTAGAGCTTTTGCTACTGGAGGCTATGCTGCCATGCAGAGGGTTACTCAGTGGAATCTTGATTTCACCGAGCACAGTGAGCAGGGGGATAGGTATAATTTTTGCTCCTTCACTTTAATATAAATCTCCTTACTAATGTTTGGGACTTTCTTGTTTCCGGTTATGTTTAAGTAATTTTTGTTATTCGTCTGTCAATAGGTATCGTGAACTGGCTAACCGAGTTGATGAGGCCCTAGGGTTCATGGCTGCTGCTGGATTCACAGTTAACCACCCAATCATGTCCACAACAGAGTTCTGGACATCCCATGAGTGCTTGCTTCTGCCTTATGAGCAGGCACTTACTAGGGAGGATTCAACAACTGGTCTTTACTATGACTGCTCAGCTCACATGGTTTGGGTTGGGGAACGCACACGGCAACTGGATGGCTCCCATATTGAGTTCCTTAGAGGAGTTGCCAACCCACTTGGCATCAAGGTATTATTGAGTGCATTAGTTTTCATTTAATTTTGACAGATTATTATTATTTTTTTCTACATCTTCAACTTTCTATTAATTGGTTATACTAAACAAGACCATGACCTTTTTGTTGGCGCCGATGAATGACTTCACTAAAATGTCATATATTAACTTATGGAGTTATTTAGGTTTTAAATTTGGCATAATCTGTATTTCTGCATATTGTTATCGCTATTGAAGTTTCAAAACCAGTTGTTACAAACAACCCCCCCCCCCCCCCCCCCCCCCCCAAAAAAAAAAAAGAAAAGAAAAAAGAAACAAGTACGAGGCAACTAAAATGAAAGCATTTATGATGCAGGTGAGTGATAAGATGGACCCAAATGAGCTACTTAGGCTTATTGAAATTCTGAATCCTCAGAACAAGCCTGGAAGAATAACAATCATTACAAGAATGGGAGCTGAGAATATGAGAGTGAAGCTTCCCCATCTGATTAAGGCAGTCCGCAGGGCAGGTCAGATTGTCACTTGGGTCAGCGACCCGATGCATGGGAACACCATCAAAGCTCCTTGTGGACTTAAAACCCGTTCCTTCGACTCAATCAGGGTATGTTTACTATCATATTTCATTCTTACAAGTTTGTAATGTGAACTTTGTTTTGGTGTGCTTATTGGTATAGAATTTTATCTAACAGTACATTCCAAAGAGTCTGCATCATAAACAAATATATACATGTGTGTGTGTATCATGTTTTAGTATGCTGTAAAACTTGTACCAAACCCAAATATGAGATAAATCTCTTTTCCAATTCCTAATTAGGCTGTTTTACACCCCAAATGTTACTTTTTTCTGTCCTTGATCTGTAAAATTATATTAAGATACTGTTCGATGTTTCTTGATATATAAAAAAGTTTAATATACTCTCCAATTGTATAAATCGTTATAGCAGTTCTATTCTTGTTGAGTTTGGAAACCTCATCATACTCACTAATTTTCTGTAGTAGGTATCAATTAATTTAGTATGTAATTATTGGTTTACTTGATAAATGGTTCTGATCTTTGTGTTTTGTTAAACCATGTACTGCAACAAGAATCCTAATTGATTGCATGTTTAGGAAGAAAAAAAAAAGTGTAGTAGGTAAGATTGCATTTGATATGCAACTTGCGACTTGCGAGTTGCAATCAATAACTACTCGGGCTTGCTTCAAAGCTGTACAACCACCTACTGCGTGTTTGTCAACTTGTATGTTCAGAACTTAATCTCAATGTGAAACACAATGCTTATCTTGTCGTTATTACATATTCTCTGATTTGACACAATGCTTATCTCGTCGTTATTACATATTTTCTGATTTGTTGGCGTGGTTCTTGTTCGGTGGTGGTGGTGGCAGTGAGGGGGTGGTTTCTGTATTCTTCTTCCCTAATTATTGTTATAATAATAACAATTAGAGTTTTTTTTCTTTTCTTGCTAGGCTGAGGTGAAAGCATTCTTTGATGTGCATGATCAAGAAGGAAGCTACCCCGGAGGAGTTCATCTGGAGATGACCGGGCAGAATGTAACGGAATGCGTTGGGGGCTCACGAACCATCACATATAATGATCTGAGCTCGCGTTACCATACCCATTGTGATCCAAGGCTCAATGCTTCGCAATCTTTAGAGCTTGCCTTCATTATTGCCGAGCGGCTACGAAGGAGAAGGCTTGGACCACAGCACTAGGAGGATTTAGTTCGATATATTATATAAATTTAGCGCCTTCTTTTAGGCTTAAGTTTATCTATGTATGTAGTATATTGTAGAAAAAGTGATGGTCTGCTTAAGGAATCAAGGTCACTTATTGAGTTTTGGCAAAACTGAGTTGAGTAAAACAGATTTGAGGGTGTTATAATTATGGATATAAATAAGGTGAATTAGAGGCTATGAATTTGGAGATGATGTATGTCGCATCTTTTATTATGCAATAAATATATTCCTTTTATCGGAATTTGGGTTATTAGAACGAATAAGGAGTATTTCTTGTGTTATTTCCGTCATGTGTCGGTTCTGAGCCTAATTGTGAACGCAACAATTTTCAGTGATTAATGCATCAATTTTAAATCCATAATGCAATAATTATGTAAATGTATCAATTTCTTGATTCAATGGTGTTATGATACTGTAACAATTTTCAGTGATTAATGTATAATTTAAATCGACAATGCAGTGATTAATGTATAATTTTAAATCGACAATGCAATAATTATGTAAATATATCAATTTCTTGATTATATGGTGTTATAATACTGCAACGAGATGCAATATGATACTGCATGAATGTTACACAATTGTTACATTGTATGTTGCATCATGACATATTGAATATTTTAAAAGTGCAGCCTTTTCAAAAAATAAATTATTAAAAATGTAGGAGGGTAGGCTGAGAAGGAATCTCCAAGTCATGTATGAAACCCTGCTACACCGAGACATTGTGGGCAAATAATACCAACGATACTGAAATTAAAACCCTAAGAAAATCTTAATCAAGTACAACCTCTAAAATGATACATTGTTATAATAATTATTGAAATTCAAATTCTACCAAATTAAGATAACTTAGGTATTTTGAAATCTTTATGGGCGTGTTCAGTTGCATGAAATTGGAGCTTTGGAATTGAAATTGATGAAATTTGAAAAAATTTTTATTCAATTTTCTTATTTGTTTTTTTACCAATTTCAACTTCAAGATTTTAATTTTATGCGGCCGAACAGTCTATATATATTTTTATAGGTAAGAGCCAAACATGGCATGCAGGTTCAAACTTAATTGTGTCGTGTATGGGACACATACCTGCGCAAAACTTTGAGTTCAGCAACTCAGCAAGATCTTCACAGAGAGTTTTGATAAAACTGTTATAAGATGCACACATTCTACAGAATGGTGACAGGTAAAGGAAACATCAATACATAGCTGAACTGGAAAGAAATGTCCAAGCTTTTGTGCTCCAAGTAATCCAAAATATCATTCATGACAACCATTTGGGAACAACAGTGAGCAACCAGAATTTCAACCATTAATTCTGCAATTTTCATTCTCTCTTCCTTCTCATTTACTCACTAGTTCTTTTCCCCACCTTAATACTGTAAATTTTTTATACATTTTCACTTTGGATATCTTTGCCAATCCGTTTCACTAGCCGGAATAATCTTTTCGTCCCTTCCATCCTTTGGAAATCAGCATGTGTTTGAACAGATGCCAGACAATGTAGTTGAAGAATCACCAAAACCGATTCAAACGGAGAGATGCATGTGTTTGGAACTTCGGATACATTTGTACAAATGTATCCGAAGTTGAGGTCATGTCCAGAACCATATGAGCAATGCATATGTACCGGAACTAAGAAAACACTGAGGGATTTGCTTGCCTCCTGAAACCCAAAGCAAATAGGTACTTGGCTTGTTGCTCAGGACATCTGTTATTGAGAATATATTTGAGACAAAGATATTAAGAATCTAATCAGGTAAACAAAACACCCTAACAGAGGCAACAATCTTAATTAAAATCTGTCCTATGATATCACATGTTAATTAAGAAGTATTATATTCTTTGGGAATTGTTATCAAGATTGCATCAGCCAAATGAGGAGGCACATACCTGACTTATATGAGGTTTCTCTGCAAGCATCAGTGTCTCCAGAGATCGAATGGCTTGATCAAAGAAGCATTGCCATAGAACTCTAAGCCGACCTTCATTTTTGCTTTCATTACTTCAATTGTGAGGTGTTTTAGAGAGGGTAGCTGCCCAATTGGCTTCAATAAACAGCAATATGCGCAACAATCTAGGTGTAAAGACTCTATATTACAGAATGAATGATCGCAACCAATTTGAAAATATTGTACCTCCATAGTCTCTGATGCTGAGATCCTTCACCCCTGCATAATATTGCTGTAGCTTTTCAAGTACCTCTCTTCCCTTTTGTAGATCACTTGTGTTGCCACTCTAGTTGAACATTAACTTTTTTAGTTGCCTCATGTTCTTCAACCCTGAATTGAGTGTGCCCATTATTCCTTAACCATCTAATCTTGCAAAATACAAAATTTTACGTGGTTGGCTTGTTTAAAACCTCTGATTTGGAGAAGGCAATATGCACACCTTATAAGACTTAATGACACTATATTGCAAAATAAATGAGCTCCTAACCAATCTGGGAATCTTGTGCCCCCATAGTTGATGATGCTAAGATCCTTCACTCTTGTATGAGGCTGTAAATTGTCAAGTACATTCTCTTGCATTTTGTGAATCATTAGCGTTGCCACTCCATTCCAATACTAACTTTTCAAGTTGCTGCTTATCCATCAAATTGGTTTCTGATGTATCTGCACAGTTGGTTACATTTTCCAACCCTAAGAATGGACAGTTCCCTTTGCAAATGACAAAGTTCCTTCAATTCACTAATCTTTGATCCACTATACTTGCCAGCTATGAAATATGTTAAATTTTGGAGATATTTTAATATGCCCATTTGCATGGGCATTTTTGCTTAATATACCCGGTTTCTTTAGATTATTCTCATTTCTTTTCATTTATTTTGAAATTTGACCCCTTATTAAAATTTATAGCGTTGGTCCCATTGCCATTCATTCTCCTTTGTTGACTTTGTAAAAACTGATTAGATTGCCTAGTTATGAGAGCCACTATCTTCATCAGAATTTTCATCAATATTATCAACTTGAGGTTTGGTTTTTTTTTCTTTTTTCGATTAAAATTCTGCATCTCAAAATTTTTTAATGGACCATCAACCTAGCTCATCTATTTTAGCACTAGACAAATCCCAATGTTCAGTGATAGTTTCTACTCTTATCTGAAATCTTTTAGGTAAATACCTCAAGATTTCTCACAAATTTTCTTTATCACTAACTCTTTTGCCTAAGTGACGAAGTTCAGAAATAATTTTAAGAAGATTAGAATAAAAAGTAGAAAAAAATTTCACCTTCTTTCATTACAATGTTCCCAAACTTATGAGAAAACATTTGAATTTTGGACAACTTTACTTTCGAAGTCCCTTTATGCGTAATCTACAAAATATTCCAAGCATCTTTGACAGTTTTAAAATTAGAAATTTTAGCATATTCAGATGGAACAATAGAATTAATAATTGTATATAAAGCTTTTTAATTAACATCATTACGCCCAGTTTCAAGTATAGTGAAGGTGAACATATCTTTTAAAACCTGAACAACCTTACCATCCATAGTATTTTCCTCAGTAGGAGTTGTATAACCTAACTCAACAACAACCCAGACTTTACTTCTTGAATTTTGCAAATAAGCTTCCATCTTTAATTTTCAAAAATTATAATTATCTCATTCGAATAAAGGACCACATTGATTAGATCCTCCTTCTTTCAAGACATGAGACATCATAAAAGAATTTTTTGAAAATAAGCAAAAACTTTCCACTAGGATCAAGTTAATGTGTAGAGATTGGCTCTGATACTAAATGTGAGTTTGTGTAGCGGAATAAAGTGTGGAAAGTTTAAGTATTTATATAGAAAGGATATAATCAGTGTATTTCTATTTAATTAGTTTTACTTAAATTAGTAAATAATTAAACAATCACATGCAAAATGAAAGTAAGTAAAACAAATAGAGTTTAAGAGATGATACCGTGATTTTTAGTGAGGAAACCCTAATTGACAATATAAACCAATTGTTGTGGGAAAAACCTCGTAGATTATGTAGTCCAGGACAAAACGATCCACTATATTTGAATTAAGTACAATTGACTTTGACTCGGGCCCATACCTTATTGTTTTACCAAAAACCAATTGCTAACAATCCTCGACTTTGTGACCTCTCGTCGTAGAGCTCTTAACTCCAGACTTATACTTGATCTCTGTAGAAGGACTGCTGGTAGATCAAACAATACTCCTCAAATGTTTTGACCCTTCTAAAGTGTGATCGCTTCATCCATTTTCTGCAAGATCTAAATTTGATGTAGAAGAAATAGATCCACTTTCTCTGATCATTGTAGATGCAATATTCAATAGACTTTGAACACGATCAAGAATTGAACAACATTCTAAAATCACTCTCGTTTTTATGTGTGTGTTCAACAAATAAAATCAGAAAAATCAAATTGATTTTTTGAATGAAATCTCTCAAAAAGGTTTTTAAAGGAATCAAAAGTTTTAATGCAAAAGCCGTATCAATCTAGATGAGAAACAAAGTTTATATAGACTTTCAAAAACCTAGATAAGCATAGAAAAGAAGTTAATTTTGTGCATAGGTCTTTTGGAAAGAAATCTATATCAAATAAGAAGTTTAGACATAACAGGAAACCAAGTTATCTAAAACTGCAAAAAGTAGGGATGGCTGTAATACACCTAATTTTAAAAGGATAGTCTCGGTATTTAATTAATGGATTTGTTGTATTTTTATTTGATTATTTGCCGAATTGTTTAATTATTTTATTATTTATTTGAATTAATTGTTTAATTGTTTATTTAATTGCATTATTTGGTTAATTGTTTATTTAATTGAAATATTTGGTTAAGTGGTGATTTAATTGAATTAATTGATAAATTGTTTTATTATTTTATGTTTATGTGGAAATGCATGTATTTGTAACTTAGGATTACATGTCTGAATTTCGCGTCTTTAATTTTATGTTTATACCTATAAGTTTAGGGTTTTATATTTTTATGTAGTCGCCGACTTATGATTATGTTGGAATTAGGATTAAGTTTTATAGAAGCCTATATATATATGTGTTATGATTCTGCCAAGGGTTTTAGAACCCTATTCACGTACTGTGAGGCAGAGAGAAAATAGAGAGAGATTTAGGAGGAAAAGAGAGGTTTCGACTGTCGATTAAAGGTCGGACCAAGGAGGAAGGAAGAGGTTGATTGTGGGTTAGAATTAGGAGCAACGGAGGCATTGGACAACAGTCGGGAACCTGTTGGAAAACTTAGAGACGGTGGTTTAAGGTTTCAAAACTGAAACCGAAGGCAAGTTTCTATTATAACTCCTTCCATTAAACCTGTATTCTGTGCATGCCTAGGTAGTCTCCAGGGTTTAAATTAATGTTAAAATTTATCTTTGCTTGAATTGAATGGAATTTAATCGAATTAAAATTGTTGTTAGTTAATATATGCTTTCGGTTTAATTCTTGATTTTCTTTGAATGTATACTTGTTTGGATTCATGTAATTGATGCATAAGTACTTTTTAAAATTTGTTGAGACTGTCTGGAACCTAGAATAGAGGGTTAGGAACCTTAACAAGAACAATCAGAAAGTCAGAAAATAGTCGGCGTCGGAGAAGACGGAGGCTGGGAAGAGTAGAGGTGACTCCACCCTTCAATGAAGGCGGCTCCATTGAAGTAGAGCCGGCACCACATGGTGTAAAGGCGGCTCCAAAGGGAGTGGAGCCGGCTCTACCTTAAATTGGAGCCGGCTCCCTTTTTGTAAATACATAGTAAGTGTATTTTTTTATGGTTTTTGGGATTTTCGGGGATCCAGTGCAGTTTGGAACTTGTATGGATGATTTTAAATGATTTGATTAAGCATGATAATACCAAAGAATGATTAATCCATGCTAGGAACTTGAACATCATGAGATTTAAAATTAAATTTGAATGCTGTTAATGGCTTGGAAGTATTTAAATTGCTTGTCGTTAAGTTAGCAAATTAAATGGAGGGATATAAATTTACTATTGTAAATTACAGTATAATATACTCAGTTAAGTATCTGATTTTTATTATAATCTTCTCTGGATGTTAATTGATGAATTACTTTAGTTTATTTTATCAATTATTGGATATGGATGATTTAAATTGTTTACTTTTACTCTAGCAATTTAAAGGACTGAAATATGGTTTTTAAATCTTGTATTTGATGCATATTATACTCACATACATATTAGAATTTATTTATGCTTGATTTGGAGTATGGTTGATGATTAAATTAATTATTTACTGCATCAATCATTTGACGTGTGATTTGTATGCACTGGTATGGGACGGTGGCATACTAGTGACCGATTAGTTCAAAACACTAATTCCTATCTATTCTGAAATAAGTTAGATTAACTATAAAAGTTAAGTCCTACCTATATGTATGTATATGCACTGGTATGGGACGGTGGCATATTAGGATGACTTAGTTCAAAATACTAAGACCTACCTATTCTGGAGACGAATTAGTTCAAAATACTAAGTCCTACCTATTCTAAAATAAGTTGGATTAACTACAAAAGTTAAGTCTTACTTATAAATATATGTCAGGTTAATAAATATTTGAATGACATACCTTGAACGGATTTTATATATATACCATTATGGTACCATGATATGAACTTGAGTCTTAGGATCATGGTTAGGGTGCGTACATCGCCTAAGATGGATAACTGGACCTAATGATGTTTCCCTGGTAAGTCTAGACATACATGACTATGTTACGTGCGTTTTGCATGTTCCTTTCTACTCGGGTTGAGACAAAACCGTGGGCTAGTGAGTGTCCTATAGTGTGTATTTATATATATATGGACTACTTTAGTTATTGTTGAGCTATTTAGGATGTATCTGCGTATCGGGTTTTTGTATGGATTGTAGTAGGATATAACTTGCATGTGGGTTTGACCTACTCTTATTTTTCAGGTGTTCGTCAGTTCCAGGCTTAGAACTTGATCGTGCTGTGCAGATACAGACACTCACTCCTCCAACTTCGTAGGACTACTTTTCATGTTTTAGTTTTGGATTTTGGTTTCTGAATTTTACTTTCCATTGGGATTTTATTAGGGGTCCACTAGATGGATTCCCGAGCTGTACATATATTGGAAAGTATTGGAATTTATATTAATTTATAAATTTTAAGGATTATATTTTTAGGATTCTTTTCAGCTTTATTAATTATTTCTTTTATTCTCTTTTGTATTCCGTATTCATTTACATATTAATTGTCTGATATCCCTCGGATCTGTGCTCGGATTTGATCACCCGTGATTCTAGAATCGAGGGGTATCACAATGGCAATTTGATCCGCCCCCGTGGTTACCCTCCCTGCCTCGCCCCATTTTTGGCAGTTTTGGGGGACCGTTTAAATTATTTGGGCGGGAATGGTTTGATGTAATAAAAACCTACGCAGGTTTGGTGCGGGGGTGGGGGGAGGTCGCCCCTCACTGCTCCGCCCCGTTTAGATAATAAAATTATTTAAGTACCTTTATTTCTTTAGTCTATATATTTCCTAGTATATATATTAAGTACCCTGTATAACAATATTAAAGTAACAAATGAATTTGATTAGAATGAAGTTGCAAAGGTGAAGAATTGAAGATGAGGGGAAAAAAAAAGAGCAAATCTATTTCAACAATAAATAAATTATGGTCTTAAACGGGACGGGGCGGGTATCCGCGGGGGTAAAAATGTTAAATGGTTGCGGGGATGGGGTGAAAAGTCCCCCCGTTTTTGCAGTTTTGGGCAGGGATGGAGACTAGGTTTTTAAACGATTGCGGGGGCGGGGGAGGATACACCCGCCCCCGTTGCCATCCCTAGCAGAAAGGCTTGAATTGGTTCAGGGTCCTGGAACCGGTTCAAGTTGGCCAGTGATGAATTGGATTCAAAGTATGATCTTGAACCAGTTCAGCTGCTTGGAATCGATTCAAGTTGGTTAGACTTGAACAGAAGAAGAAAACAGTTAGAAAATTTTCGATTTTGAAAATTTTGAAAGATCAACATACTATGTATGAAAGTGTTCTAACCTTTTAACTCAATATCCTAATGCGTTGTTCATACTTTTTTTGTGGATCTCAATTTATCAAACACAAACATTTCTTCAATTCCGCAACCGATCTCGATCTTGAATTTAAAACTTAAAAATACAACTCGATCAGACTTATTTTGATATTAAAATTAACCAATTACAAAATATATATGTCACAAATTTACCAAATTAACAAAAATTACTAAAATAAAGGTGGTTTCTTTCTTTCTCCTAACCCGTGAGTGCAACCTCACCCGTTGCCATTGGCCACCACCATCAGCATCCAATTTTGTATTCTTTGCCGTCCATCGCCACCTCAATCATTAATATTACTAAGACAAAAGTCATACTCATGACAAGTAAAATTTGTCCCTTCGATCATTGAATTTAAAAAGGTTTCGCAACCTGACAAACTCGTACTAATTATATGATAAAATATCTCAATTCAATAAATAAAGAAGGTTATAGTTGATTGTAGGAGGCACTTAATTAAAGGAGGAGAATGAGTCAAAAACACTTCATTTTTATATAACAATCCTCAAATCTTGATCTATTATAATTACCCAAAAAAAAAAAAAAAAAAAAATTGATATATTATTTCTTTCTCTTGTTATAAAGGATGGGTATATAAACTGAAAGAAAAATAAAAAATCCTTCGATTTTAAAAATGTATAAAAAAACTTCTTTCATTTAACATGAATGTGCATATAAATCATTAGCATTTAAAAATACGAACCCGTTAAATTGAATGATCATAGCATTTAAATTGAATGATCAGTGCACCCAAGACGATCCTAATTTCCTCATATTTTTTGGTCTCGCCATATAAGTCCCAAAGGTTTTCACTTCTAAACGAACTTTTCCATTATAAAAAGCGAGACCCTCTCTTCATCTGCTATATCATTTTGAGAGAGATAGAGAGAGAAAGAGAGATGGGTTCTACTGGTGTAGATGACAAACCTCATGCTGTGTTTATGCCATTCCCAGTTCAAGGTCACATAAACGCAATGATGAGACTAGCAAAAGTCCTTCACTACAGAGGCTTCCACGTAACTTTTGTCCTCACGGACTACAACCACAAGCGCTTGATCAAGTCCAGAGGCCCGAACTCCTGCGACGGCTTGCCGGACTTTTGTTTCGAGACCATCCCTGATGGACTCCCTCCTTCCGATTATGCCGACGCCACCCAAGACATCCAGTCTCTCTGTGTATCCATACCAAAGACTTGCCTGCTACCTTTCTGTATCCTACTTTCAAAGCTTAACGGCTCATCTTCGTCCAATGTCCCGCCGGTGACTTGTATAGTCGGCGACGGTTGCATGACCTTCACCCTCAAAGCTGCTGAAGAGTTTGGAATCCCTGGAGTAATATTCTGGTCGACAAGCGCTTGTGGGGTCATGGGTTTTAAACACTTCATTCATCTGGTGGAAAGAGGACTCATACCACTCAAAGGTAAATAACACCTTCAATCTCATCTTATGATACATGTCACAAAAAAATCTACTAGTTTATCAGGCCGGTTACTTAAATTTTATGAATTGAAAGAGAACTTTAGGTTAATGTTTTCGATCATAAATGATTTCAAAGTAGACACATTTTAAAATTGTGAAGGAAATGAAAAGTAATGTTTATTTGTCTAAATTACCTTCAATATATACCCGTATCACTTTTGTACATGTAATAACTACTTTTGTGTATACAGGTTCTAATTTTGTGCAAATTAAGTAATTAAAATGGTTTGCACAAAAAATGGCACAAGAGTGGTATTTACATGCACAAACGTGATAGCTATATATAAGAGTGTTACTTACCTATCTAAAAGTGATACATCTCTGCACAAGGGTGGAACCTTTGATCACAATAGTAGTACTTATTTGCACAAAAGTGGTATATCTGTGTACAAAAGTAGAACGTAATACTTACATGCACAAAAGTGATACTTGAAAATACTAAAAGTAGTTTGGGCAAATAAGTAGCGTTTTTCCATATTCACAACAGAGGCCAAAAACCAAAGTCCATCACTTTGAAAAATGTTGACTTTGACTTCCTCACTAGGCAACAAGACCTCCTAAAATTAACTTTTTTTATAATTTTTCCAAAAAATAATAGTACCCACGTGCATAAGAGTAGTACATTTGTACACAAGGGTGACACTTAAAAATTATGAAACATGGACACAGGCACGGGACACTAGTACGACACGACACGAATACGGCGAGATGACAAATTTTAAAAAATTAAGATATAGACACAGCAAGGATATTATAATAAAATAATAATATATATATTTTTATGATATATAAATTTTTATTTTTATTTAATTTTTTTTATTTATATTTAAATTAGGTTAACCAAATAATTCACTCTTAAAAAATATAAAAATCATAAGTTTCAATTTTATTAAAATATAAATTTATATCCACGCTATCATTATAAGTTATAACCAAACATAACATATATGATTTTTAATTTATTTCTTTTTTTAACACGCCTTTTAAGATGATAAGGTAAGAAATCACAATCTTATCCCATTTCTAATTTCTCTCTCCACGCGTGGTTCACGCCTCTTCAGTCTTCATCATCGACTCCGCCTCTCCCTTTCTCTGTCGTTCAATCAAGCCAAGAGATCTGGTGAAGTTTTGGATGGAAAATAAGAGGTGGTTCCTCATGTTCACGGTAAAGCCAACACCTACAGAAGATCTTGCTCTTTGTTTTTTCTGTTTTTTTTCCCTGTGGTTACTCTGTCATTGCTCGATCTCTTCATCTTTTTTAGATTTCTAGATCACTAGCATATATATATACACACACATGCACACTATTACACACACATTCATTCTTTTTCTTTTTTTTTTTTTTTAAAAAAACCGAATAGGCGTGCCTCTGACGTATCATTAACGTGTTGTGTGGCGTATCCTTTGCCGTGTCCGATCTTAAAAAAAATAATAAAAAATTAGACACGTGTCCGAGCACGTGTCCGGCATAGGCACGGCACCCCTCATGGGTGTCCGTGTTTCATAACTTAAAAATAATAATAAGAGCAATTTTGACAAATGAACAATATCTTTTCATCCCGAAGCACAAAGGTGATACTTGAAAATAGTAATATTTGGATAAATTAATGTAAACGTGAGTCTTATTCACTGTATCAAAGGATAAAAACTTCAAACAAATAGATTTAAAAATAATTTAAAAAATTATTTTCTTTTTTTTGAATAAAGACAAAATGACCCAAGAGATTGAACAAGCCTAACACCAACAAATCCAAGAGAGAGTATTTGTAAAATGGCCCCATTGAGTCCTGTATCAACTAGAATGACTTAGTTGATGATACAAGTCACTAATACAGAACAAAAACAGCAATTGAAGCAAAGAATGTATGCAATCATGTCAATTTAGCTAATAAGCCAGTAGATAATTTCTTATGATATGTGCTAATATTTACAGATGAGAGCTATTTAACAAATGGATATCTGGATACAACTATAGATTGGATACCGGGAATGAAAAACATTCGATTGAGAGATATTCCAAGTTTCATCAGAACAACAGATTCAAAAGACATCATACTCAACTTCCTCATCAAGGAATTAGAGGCCCTTGACAAAGCTTCTGCTATCATTATCAACACTTTCGACGCCTTGGAACAAGAAGTACTGGACGCTCTCTCGGCCATGTATCCTCGTGTATACAGCGTCGGTCCTCTCCATTCAATGGTCAATCAGATATCGGACCAAACCATGAGATCTATTGGCTCCAATCTTTGGAAAGAAGAACTTGAGTGCATAAAATGGCTCGACTCGAAACAAACAAACTCAGTGGTGTATGTAAATTTTGGAAGCATCGCTGTCATGACACCGCATCAACTCACAGAGTTTGCATGGGGACTTGCTAATAGCCAAAAACCATTCTTGTGGATAACAAGGCCTGACTTAGTAACAGGTGAGAATGCGATTTTGCCAGCTTTGTTCTTGCATGACACTAAAGAGAGAGGCATGTTGGCAAGTTGGTGTCCCCAAGAGCAAGTCCTTAACCACGCGTCAGTCGGAGGGTTCTTGACACACAGCGGGTGGAACTCAACGATTGAAAGCATATCCGGTGGGGTGCCGGTGATCTGCTGGCCGTTCTTCGCCGAGCAGCAGACTAATTGTCGGTACAGTTGCGTGGAATGGGGCATAGGCATGGAGATAGATAGTGATGTGAAGAGAGAGGAAGTGGAGAAGCTTGTGAGGGAGTTGATGGAGGGAGGGAGGGGAAAAGAGATGAAAGAGATGACAATGGAGTGGAAGAGGAAAGCCGAAGTGGCCATTGGACCTGGTGGTTCTTCTCAACTTCACTTGGACAAATTGGTTAATGAGGTTCTCTTGTCAAAGTGATTGAAAGAAGTTACTTTCTATCTAGTTTGAATATGTGTACTGTATTTTGTTTATTTCTCAATCCTTTTAATTTTGTGTTATATTTGGAAGCATTTGTACATTATTGAATCATTATTCATAGTCAATATGCTTGCGTTGATCCCATATGTATACCAGATTTGACAATATGCCAAATAAACATTGGTTTCGCCCTTATTTGTGATGGCCGTCTAACTTGATAAACATTAATTTTTTATTTTACACGGCCATTTTATTCATAAAATGTTTGTTATTATTTCAAGTATTAGAAGGACAAAATTGACATTCTATTCATTTTCTAACACTGACATTAGCTAATTTTATTTGTCTCTGTCACGTACCCTAACAATAGGGAAAATGTGTTAGATAACCACAATCTCAAAGGAGATAAGAAGAATTATAAAATTAATAGTGTGTCTTTATAAAATATTGACAAACCTAAAGAAAAGTAAATAAAATAATTTACCTTTGAATAGTTAGGCATTGTTTATTTATCTATTTGTTTAGTTATTTGATTGGGAGTGCAACCTACCTTTTTGGTGAGATAAAACCCACTATGGGCACGAGTAAAATCTTGATAACATACGCCCATTTTAGTTACTCTTAAGGTTGGCCTCAAGGACACTGGGTCCAAAATGTAACCTTGACCTCTCAATTTTTAACCTACTATACTACCAAGAAATTGTAGTTTATGGACTTCTTGTATCAAAAATAATAAATCATCCCACAATAACCGGAATGAATTAATAAAGTAGTCCAAATTATCCACTATTAATGAGAAAACCCTGATAGGCATTAATTTTTGAATGGTTTAATTGGAGTTTCTAGCTATAAAAGAAGGTCATGTTTGGTATGTTTGGTATTAATTTTTGATTTTTTGTTTTGCTCCCAAACAAATTAAATGTTTTGTTGCCGTGGATATCAAGAAATTTAAAAAAACAAGAAACAAGAGTTGGTAAAGAGTGTTTTTGATTTGTATTTAAAAATTTAAAATATATTAATACATTATTATTTATATATAATAGTACATTTTTTTACACATATTTTTATTTTTATTTTTTATAATTTAATCTAAAGTTAAAAAATGTTAGTATAATTGAATATGTGGTTTAAGACTATAATTGTCATGATTATTTTAAAATTGAATGTTGAATAATGTGGTTTACTACTATCACTGTCAATATTTATATCAATGTGGTCAATAGCATCATTTTTATAAGTAAGGATTGAAATTGAATTGAACATTAACAATAAGTGAAAATTTGAGGAAAAATGGAAGTTAAGGGCAACTAAATTTTTTCTCTTATTCCTGAAATCTTAAATTCGATCGGAATTGGACATTACAAATCAGTAAAAAATGGACAATATATATACTGTTTATAACAATGAGTGACAATATAAAATCCAGTAATTCCATTAAAATTGATTTCATCCCTGTATGAAACCTATGAATAATGATCAATATGGTTTCATTAAAAATCATTCTATTAGAAACTATAGAAGTTGTAGATAATAATTCAATTAAAATTGAAAGCATTTATTGTACTGTATAATGAACCATTTATCAATTGAAATTCATTTAACCATAATATGCAAACTGTGTATAATGAACAATCCAAACCAATATTAAAATTGTACATAAAGCTGTCCTATCTCTCTATACATAAATCTTGAATTAACTATTTCTTACGAGAGACAAAATGAAAAAATATTCGTTGCAAATTTTCAAGTGCTTTATGGAACAGAATTGACACCATGAAAAGCAACCAGGGCCCAAGTCCAGTCCATTCGAGCTTTTGATAGAGCAAGATGGTCAGCATTGGAAGACTTTCTGTGTAAAAATACAACTGCAGTCTACTTCAAACAGCAATAATGGACATGATCCAAAAAAATACTTGAATATTCCACTCATCATAGTTTTTATTAACTAGTGGCAGCTCTGCTACTTCCCTTCTTGGTCCCAACAATTTTTGGCCGCAATAATCACAAAAAATAACATTTAACAAGATAATAATAAGCTCTATATTGATCTTTAAATGTATTGAGCTTGAACCTATCTTTCATACCAATGGCGTGCAGCAATCTAATTGATCTAATAGCTATTTGCCATTATCTGCTTGGCATCTGAAGAATGAAACCATGAGAAACACGTGGACTCTAATCTATGAGGAGAATTAAGTGGTTTCAGAAAATATGACTGCTTTTGGCCAATTGCTTTTCTTACCACATTTGTTGTCACATTGGGGATAAATGACAAGAAAGCATTTTATTTTCAATTAAACAACCAAACAGCTAGAAAGTTTCCCTCCAACAAAACCAAACAACAATATGCTAAAACAATAGCCAAATAAGCCGAGATCAGTTTAATTTACCCTTTCTATCATCATCATCACCATCAATATTATAATTATCATCACAAGTTTCTAAAAGTATAAATTATCTCAAAATTATGTTTTCATTCTGAATAATCTTTAATTTTCAATTACTATTAGAGAATCTCCTGGTAAAGTAGTAAAATATATAATTATACAATAACCATGCATGTAAAGATTGTTTTCCTCTTCGTTTTTTTTTTTTTTTTTTTTTTTTTTAATTATTTAATTATTTTATTTGTTATTGGTGGAGGTTGGGGGGAGGGTAGGAGGATGTTAAAATTTTGAGCATTATTAGTCATGACCCATTAGGTCCACAAGACAATGAAGACATAAACAAACACAAAAAACCTGTGTTTAAAGCCCATTGGGCTTTCTTCAAATCCTTGCTTTGAATTATTGCTATATAATTTAGTTTTTTATTTTTATTTTTTATTATTATTCTTTCACCCTACAAACATATTTTACCATATAATTTGTGCATTAACGAGTAATCTTCAAATCCCATAATCCGGTGCATTAACGAATAACCTGAAAATTCGATTTGATATTGAGTCCGAAATACAGAAGCGAACACAAAAGAATACGTCATTAGAGATTAAGACAATAAAAGAACTATGAATGATGTCGACGAGGCTCGAACACGAATGCGACTGCGAAAGTTAAGGATACATAGTCACAACAGACGTGAATGCACAAATAAAAGAGTAAAATGGTCATAAAAGTGGACGGAATTAACATCCAACGAGGTCACGAACACACCTACTGAATAATAACATACAACAATTAACCCTAAACTATCCATGGAAGATCACAAAGTGGGGCCTACATGGCCCAAAGATCATGAACTGGAAGCAGGAGTTTCAGCAAATCGAAACACCCCACACGTTGACGGAAATGGTTAACTCGGTCGACGTGAAGTCTTATATGTTGACCAAAAACTGGAAGTCTAGAAAATGCTCTATGTGCGACAATGAAACGGAGGGTGAAGTGATATTTTTTAGATCACAAAGTGGGGCCGATTTGGTCGGTGTAGTTGGGCCTCAGTTAAATCACCTTGAATGTACTAAAGTTTATTAAAAGGGCGGTATGGTCATTTGGTTTAAAAGGGCAGTTTGGTCAGATTTAAGTTGAATATTTTTCTCCTGTTAGTTTTAGATGGCAATTAACGGAATGTGGATAATGTGATATATTTTAGAAAAGATTAGGAGGTTGTATGATAGTTCCTTTAGTTGAAGGGGTTATATGACTGCTTTTGTAAATAAGAGGGGAGTTTTAAGATTTTATACATTGACGGTATTGATAAAAAATATATAAAAATTCTCATTCCATTCTCTCCAACCAAACAAAAAATAAGAGACACTTTTGAATTTCCCATTTATCCCTTCCTCTATCTCTTCCATCCATATTTCAATTCTTCCAACCAAACAAAGCATTAGGATACAACAATCTTGTGTTATCTAAAAGAAAGCTTTAGGGTACAAATATCGTGTGTTATCTGCTCCTTCTTGGTGCAATTTATCTCTCTTCATATCTCTCTCATACTATAAACAATGGTTTCAGCAAGTATTGTGTGTTCTTTACTCCTTATTCTAGAAAATTTTTTCATTCTTCGTTTCTATAAACAATGGTTGTCGGTCCTCTCTCTTGGTATGACGATATAACTTCATCTCTCCAGGGTTTCAAACTCATCAATGAAACCAATGGCAATTTTCACCACTTTCTCAAAAGCCTCCTCATTCATCAACAGACCTTTCCCTCTCCTCCACCCGAAATGTATGAGCAATGTCCCTGAAAACACCGTCTACGGCGGGCCAAAGCCCCAGAACCCTAACCAGAGAGTGACCCTAACCAATTTAAGGCAAAAGCACCGCAAGGGCGAGCCTATAACCGTCATGACCGCGTATGACTACTCGTCCGCGGTCCATCTCGACACTGCCGGAATCGATGTGTGCGTCGTAGGCGACTCCGCCTCCATGGTGGTCCATGGCCATGACACCACCTTGCCCATAACATTAGATGAGATGCTCGTGCATTGTCGCGCGGTGGCTTGTGGAGCCAGGAGGCCTCTGCTTGTTGGGGACCTTCCATTCGGAACATACGAGTCGAGCACTCGTCAGGTAATGATTAATTGTGTTTGTTTGATTAGAAAATGGAGGGATAGTAAAAAGAAATATAGTTTGTTTTTGGGCATTGTTTGTGAAAAATGCAAAAAACTGACTGCTAGAAACAAAACAAGCAAACGTGGACTATTTTCTGTATTGTTTTAAAAGTAGAACTTGCATTGACTTTTGCTGACGGGAATTGTATGTATGAAATGCAGGCCTGGTTTGAATCAGTTTTCTTATAACAGTTTTTTGTATTTAAAAAAACTGCAAATCAACTATATGCTAGACCCTTTTTGTTTACTATTTTTTGAAAATTCGGTTTTAAAAAATTCGTTTTTACATAACTCTCTTACAATTATATGAAAACAGTTTCTATTTTAGAGAACTGAACCACTAAATAAATTATAGTGCATTTTGGAATTTAAAATTGGTTTCGAAAATGAAATTTGATTTGATGTTTTACTCAAAAAAGCATGGATAGTAAATGGTGTTTGTTCTTTTAGTTTCCTTGGTCTCAAAAAAAAAAAAAAAAAAAAATTGAAGCAAAAAAAAGATATTGAATTTCTTTAGTTATCTCGGTCTTAAATAACGGTAATACGTACTTTTTAGATGTTTATTTTCCTTCTACATTTTATTGGCAACCAAACGGAGCATTGTTGAATTGATTGAAAGGCGTGTGTTTTGGTGTTGAAATTGGGCTTGAATGTGTCATGGTTGGTGATGCTGCAGTTTTGATTATGCGCAGGCGGTTGATACAGCAATTAGGGTTTTGAAGGAAGGAGGAATGAATGCTATTAAATTGGAAGGAGGGTCTCCTTCTAGAATTGCAGCAGCGAAAGCTATTGTTGAGGCTGGAATTGCAGTTATGGGGCACGTTGGACTTACTCCTCAGGCAATTAGTGTTCTTGGTGGGTTTAGGCCTCAAGGGAGAAATGTTGCCAGTGCTGTCCAGGTCTCTCTTCACACAAATCCGGACTTTTACCCGATAGGTGTGGCTCACGGGCTGTTGCACTTATCAGGGATGGTTTACGTGGCAGCAGCTACAAGGCCAAAGGGCTGCTATTTGCGAAGGCTCCCACGTCGTCAAAAAAAAAAAAAAAAAAAAAAACACACATACATAGATAGGAAAATATAAGCACAGTACTCATGAACTCCCTGTGTTTTTTTTATAGGATTTTGTTAAATTAGATTTCTTTTTGCAGGTTGTGGAAGCTGCCCTAGCCTTGCAGGAAGCTGGGTGTTTTTCTGTCATTCTGGAGTGTGTCCCTGCACCTGTGGCTGCGGCTGCAACATCTGCTCTTCAAATTCCCACAATTGGCGTTGGAGCTGGGCCTTTCTGCAGTGGGCAGGTTAGGGGATTCTCTAGCTTGCATCATTCAAATTTATCAACACAAATGGATTAGATTTGTGTGTAGGTTTCTTCATGTTGCTATAAATAGATGGTAGTGTAATTGGGTTTGTGCTTTATTTTGCAATTACTGATTTTGTGATGTCATATCCTCTAGTTCTTGTTTTGATTCAGGGTTACAGTGATGTTTGAATTCAAGACCATCTTAACAAATTAACAACCATTTACTACAAAGGCTTAGGCTGTAAAAGAGGGTGCAACTTTAATATTTAAATCCTTCAACAATCTCTATATACCTTATATAATTCACATTGCTTCTAGAGTGTAGGATAGTTTTATTGATTTTTTCTCTCATTTAATATTTTTTAATAATTAGGTTTCTTATTTATTTTTTTAATTTTTTTGGATAATTTTTAGAAAAAGTTAGTGTTTTGAGCAACCAATAGGTTTCTTATGTTATTAGGGTTTTTTTTAGTTTCTTTTGGGTTTCTTCATTATAAAAACATGTACTCAAGGCATAATTCATAAGTTGATTAATAATACATGCATTAAGATTGACTTTTTGGATTATAAGTTGTTCTTTTGTTCGTTATTGAACGTTCCGCTCCATCACTTGTCAATATCATTTTAATGTTTTAACTCATACCATCATGCCTGCCTGTTCTCCTCACTTTTATTAGAAAAAGAGGATGGTTAACTGAATTTCTGATATAGCTGGTTAGACTTTCTGTATTGAGAACTTCCATTTGTTTTTGCAGGCCTTGGTTTACCATGATATACTGGGAATGTTGCAGCATCCACGTCATGCCAAGGTTAATTCCACTAATTCCAGTTTTCGACTCTGGCTTGATGATCTTCACTTTTTTTTTTTTTTTTTTTTTTTTTCACTAACCGGGGTGTTTGGGGGTTTGCCCCGACTAATTCACAAAACCCTTGCAAAGTAACCCCTCCACTAAAGCTCGGATTATGTCCTGAGTCATAACTCCTAAAAGAATTGATTGCACTCGAGAAGATTCGAACTTGAGACTTAATGAGTCTTAGGGCTTCACCATTGGAGCCAACCCCTTGGGGTTTCTTCACTTCTTTTATGGACTGGTTTCTTCACCCTTTTGCAGGTTACTCCAAAGTTCGTTAAGCAGTATGCACATGTTGGAGAAGTCATCAACAAAGCTCTTTTGGAGTACAAGGAAGAGGTCATAAATGGTTCATTCCCTGGTCCTATCCACAGCCCGTATAAAATTAATGCTGCCGATGTAAATAGTTTCTTGAATGAGTTACAAAAGTTGGGATTGGACAAGGCAGCCTCTGCAGCTGCTGCAGCAGCTGATAATATTTAGACAGCTGAATCTTCTAATGGAGGAAGCCCAACAGGTGACTAAACATGTGCCAGCACGAGCCTGATCAAATTGAGCACTTGCTCTTGTTGTTGAGTGAGTTTTTTTTTTTTTTTTTTTTTTTTTTCAGATGCGGCCAAGTCTAACTCATAGAAAGTAGGGCTGACAAGCTCACTTTCTTCATGCCTTTTAGATTCCTTTCTCATTAGTATATTTTAATATATTTTTAATAAAATACAAGAGTATTATAAAAAAAGGAGGGGATGTTTGCACGGATCAAAATCCTCTCCAGCTTAACAGGGAATATGTCCTAGTCTGTGAGTGATATGTGGACACCATTTTGCCACGTTAGTTAGTCAAAAGAAGTAAATCAATTTTTACTGAAGATGTATTAGTGTATACATACAAAGTTTGCCATGTTACTTAGTCAAAAGAGACAAAAGAGAGTAAGTCAGTTTTTAGTGCATGTATATAAAATCTATACATTCCAATTTTCTTCTTAATAACATCCCAATATTTTCCTAATGTACATTCCAATATTTTCTTAGACTAGGGTCTACTATCCATCTATTTCTCTAATTAAGAAAATGTTTGGACGTTGGTCTTGCATCACAATATTTTTCTAACGTACATCCTAACTTTTTTCTTACTAGTATCACAACATTTTTTTAACGTATATCTCAAAAAAGATAAAGTAAAGAATACTGTGATGTTGGTAAAGAGAAAACTGGGATGTTGGTGAGAGGAAAGGTGGGATGTAGGTAAGTCAGTTTTTAGTGTAAATATACAAAGTCTATACATCCCAACTTTCTCCTTAACAACATCCCAATATTTTTCAAATTTCTCTTTACTATCATCCCAACATTTTTCTAACGTATATTCCAAACAAGATAAAGCAATGAATCGTGTAATGTTGGTAAGGAAAAAGTTGGGATGTTGGTAAGGGAAAAGTTGAGATGTAGCTTAGGTTAGGAAAATATTGTGATATACAATTTATACTAAGATATGTTTATTTATATATTTGTACAATAAGTGGGATGTTAGTAAGAAGAAAGTTGGGATGTAGGTTAGGGAAATATTGTGATATTCAAGAAGTTGTAGGTTAGGGAAATGTTTGTATAGAGAGAGAAAAATAAGAGCAAAAAGTTGGTCCTGATTTTGATTTGGTCTCGTATGTATGTGTATATGTATATACAAAAATTTTGCTTTTTTAATTTTTAACTTTTACGATTTTAACTCACTGGCTGATGGAGAGGATTTTGAGCCATGTTTGCACTCCCCTTTTCTGCTTTGCATTCCAATCTTAAAAAAGAAGAAAAAAGAATGACCCTTTCAACCATAACTTAACAAGTAACTGATTTTTTTTAATATTAAATCTCCCACTTTTAACCCTAACTTATATATATATATATATATATTGTTAGGAAAAGAAAAAAGTACTAGAAGACGTAAAGAAGGTGAAAAGAAAAAATTATAGTGAAAAAGGTAGTTAAGGTATTGTTAAATAAGGAATGACTCTTTAATGAGTGTTTAGGAACCATTTTGTCATTTTGTTTAAAATAAAAAGAAAATGGAGTGTAATCTTAGAAAAGGGGAGTGTCAATATCCCCTTGGTTCCCTTAATAGGGATAATCGCATACGGATATATCGCACTCCCATGTTCTACTATTGCACTCCAATCTAAAAGTAAAAGACAGTACTTTACCCCCAACTTTATAAGTGATTTTTTTTCAAATACTATAGTTTCAGATATGGAATGATCTTTTCATCTCTCCCTGTCTCTCTTCAATCTTTGACGTATTCGGTTTCCCGTGCTTCTTAACCCCCTCTCTTTCGCTTGCACTTCCAACATCTCCCAACTCTCTTTCTCTACTTTCTCTTGTTTATCTCCTCTTAGATTTTGATATTAATCTTTGTAAGTAAGAATGAAAGATCTCACAAATAAAGAAATGAATGAGTTGAATAAAGTAATTGATCTTGTTAATACATGAAGCATGGAAGACCTATCAAGACTCCATGAATCATTCAACTCATTCGAGACTAATAGTGATGGTAATTTTTTCTTTTATTTTTATTTTCATGTTGTATGCTTTGAGTTTTGTTTTGGATTTTTCTTCCTTTTGTGATTTTTAGGAATTAACTTGAAATATTTGTGAATCTTGAAGTTTTCCTTATTGATGGGAAAATAGAGCTGATTATGACTTGAGTAAGAGAGCTCCATACACACAATAGCATAATTTTATTCTTCTTTTGACTTGCTATCAAGGTTTTTTCTTTTATCACACTTTTGGGTAAATTCAAAAAGTTTGGAAAAGTATTTATTTTGCTGCTTCTTGAACCCCTTTAAGCCTTGTATCAATTCATTCTATTTCTAATCCATCTTATGTCTGTTAAATAAATTTTCTCTTTTTCAAGACCAAAAAAAAAAAAAAAGGTACTAGAGAGAAAGTAAGAAGGTATTAAAGTTTATAGTATTAAGGGTAGTTATGATATTATAAAATAAGGAATGATGCATTAATAAATTTTGAGGCAAACTTGTATTTTTTTCTATTTACTGAAAATAAAAAAGAAGAAGAAGGAAAGTGGTGTGCAAATATGCCTTCCTTTATCAATATAGCTACCATAACAATTTGTCCCCTTAAATTTTACCTCCAGCCAATTTCTTTCCATATTGTGATGCATATGATTGATACTATTTTATTAATCCTGAAAGTACCCTCTAATATGACCGTCATATCCCATCTTCCTATAAAAAGGCTTTTGCATTCCTTTATTCCACTCAAACATTTTTTTGTTACATTTGGATATGCTCTCTATGCTCTCCCTCCAAGGTCGGTTTATATATATATATATATATATATATATATATATATATATATATTTGTGTATTTGATTATAGTAAGTTGTAATATATATAAATTATTGTTGGACCATATATATATGTTCATGTATATTTCCTTTATTTCTGGCTTTTCTAGCTACTAAAAGAGTTTTGGGAACTAGACTGTATCAAATGGTCTGTAATGTAATACAATATAGTTGAGGATATAATACAACCATGAAAGGTACGTAGTCAAAGCCCCCCTTACATATGATTTGAATTTGGCCTCAAAGCCTTCCTCTGTTGGAGTTATGTTTCAAATTAATATAGTAACTCTATATTTATGAAGACAAAGTATTGATATTGCAAACTTTAAACTTTAATTGCTTCACCTGATGTATTTAATATACTATATTAATATGTTATTTATGAGTTAAGTTTAAAGTTACATTAAATACTTTATTAATGTCTTCTAAATATATTAGTATAAATAGTATGGCATATGAAGCCTACGAGATACACACTCTCTAAACTATTTAGAGTTAATCAAAAGGGATTTGAAAATGTGTTTTCAAACTATTGAGTTTTAGTGTATGAGTTTTATATTTTTTGTTGATCGGATGGAGATAAATACATAAGTTCATGAAAAAGAAGTGCAACATTCATGAATGAACAGATTTGATTTCTGGGCTTAGTTGAATCCCGAAGATAGTGCTGTCATTTGTCTTCCGTTGTACGTGGGAGAGGCTTCAACTATCTTTAAGAAGCAATTACACGCATCTAAGCTTCGATACTTACCGTTTTAATATATTGGTTCTAACAATTTGAAGATAATTTTCTCTTAATGGATTCATTTTCGTTGTTATCTAACACTATTTATTCGATTTTTCAAGCAATATTGAGGCTTTTGATGGTTAAAAAATACCAACGGTGGAAAGAAAATTTTTTATTTTCCTTCGACAATTGAAAAATCGCTTATGGACTAAGCCATGTCCAGCTATTCTAGGTGACAAAACATCATCTGATCAAGTTCTAATTTAATCAATGAGAAGATCACAAGGTGGATTGAATTGGCATCTCGTCCTAATAAAAGTGATCAAAATTTTTCCATACCTATTAATTAGTGGGGGAATAGTGTAACCCAATATCCTATGTTGGTGGGCACAAGGGCAATTGAATGAAATTGCACTTTTGATGTGGCTTCAAGGTTATCTTTGAATCTGATATGTTCCTTGAAATAATCTTTTCATTAAAGGTATGTCTGAACTTATAAATACTATATGTTTATGTTACCAAGTTTATTGATTAATAGCATGTTTTAAACTTAATCAATGATCTGAATCCTTTTATCAAAGGATTTGTCAGGGATTGATCGAAAGGTTATGGTAAAACCTATATGGATTAATGCATTATAGGTAGCATGTGAAAATTTAGTGGTCTTCCATATATGTTGAAAGAAATATGGTACTGTAGAACTGATCTCCATCGATCACATTATTGATGCTCATTTTGAATATACTTATATTTATTTCTTGAAAGCTGAAAGCTCTAGTAGGTCATTTTCCGCCTGATTAGATCATATTCTGCGATAAATGAGAAGATCACAAAAGAAGTTTATTATTTTTCGGGACGCGTGCCATCAGTTGATTGAAACTAAATCATCTTTCCACATTACAATTAGTAAAAATCATGCAAGATCTATGACTAGTGGGGGGATCAGATGACAATATAAGAGGAGAACTCTTCAACTTCCAAAGTGGTATACACAAGCATAATTTCTAGTAAGTGATACATTTGAAGGAGGTCTTTAGATTTGCAAATAATGGCTTCGAGGTGAGTTCTTATTCATCAATTTTTCATCCAAAATTGGTATGATTGTCGAAATGAGCCACTCTATTAGCAATATGCTTTCCAGTTATAAAACTGATTTTTTGGTTATTGATAAATTTCTTAACTTATGGCATGTCATATACTTAGATTACATGAGTTTAAATTTATTAATCAAAAGGATAACCAATGGTAAGGTTCATGTGAATCAAAGCATTACATGTAGTATGTAAACTTTTATTAATGTGTTGAAAAGATACTAATATTGGAAATTTGATCCATATTGACATGTTTGAAATGACCTAATTATATTAATGAAGGAAAGTGATATGTTATCATTTTATTGATGATACTAATTTTTATCCTTGAAAGCTTATTTTTGAAAGCTTCTAAATATAGGAATGAATGATTAAGAAAGCAATGTTGCAGCTAAATTTTAGACTGATAAAAAGAGATTCCAAGGAAATTCTGGCAATTATTATTTGCCTATAATGTTCTTAATTTGAACTTTTGACATATGGATCTTAGGGAAGCTGGTGTGATTGTGTAAATCAAAGTGTGGGGCCTCAACATGGATTTACTTTTAC